CCCATTCTGCTCTCTGCTCTGTCTCTGGTGAATCCCCTTACCACTGCCCCCCACATCTTTGGCATGCACCCTGTTTCTTTTATAAACAAACAGGTAGAGGGCCCTCCCTGGTGGCGCAGCGGGTTAGGACGCAGCACTGCAAGCTGGCCGCAGCCACTTCAGTGCGAGTTTGATTCCAAGTCCTGGAGGTGACCCACATGGCGCAGCAGACCTCTCCTGACCCGCCCGCTGCTCCCCTCAGCAGTGTACTTTATCGATCTGCCTGTTCTGCTCCCCGCTCTGTCTCTGGTGAATCCTCTCGCCGCCCCCGCACCTGTGGCCTGTACCCAGTTCTGTAAGCATAAATAAATAAATCCTTAAAAACAAACAAACAAATAAAATGCCGAGGGACACTCAATCCCTACCCTCTGTTCTGCTTCCAAGAGTGACCACCGGCTTGCTGGGAGGCCAGTAGCAGGTGTCAAGGGGAGCTGGAGCAAGAGGACAGCAGGAGCCAGCTCCCGGCATGGAAAAGCCCAAGATAAGGCTCCTCTGTCAGAAAAGCTGAGGGAGCCACTTCTGCGTGGGAAGGGGTAAAGAGCTGGGCCTGGCCCAGCTAGTGCAAGTCCCCTCTGGCCAAGCCCTTCCAGCTGTGAGCTGCTTCACCAGCAGAGGGAAGTGCGATTCCAGCCTTGCGCAAGGGTGCACAGGCCCCCCTGCCCGCTGTCTGTGCAGTTCACTCCACCCAGCCCCTGTGAGGCCCAGATGCAGAGAGGAGGGAGTTGGGGAGCTCTGATCTTTCTCCAGGTCCTTTATTGGTGTGGGGGCGAGCCCCACCATCTGGGGAAGAGGTGCTGGACAGGCAGGAAGGGAAGGGGGAGGGGGAGCCGAGATGGGAGGAAGATGGGGGGCCAGGGATGGTTTTTAAGCAGGGAGGAAGGGGGTCAGGTTTAGAGGAGAGCCTGAGGCTGCAGAGGGCCTGTGCCGTAACACTCTGGTCGGGCCACAGAGGAGGGGCGCTGGGGGCAACAGCTGGCCTGAGTCTCCCTGGAAGGGATGACCAGGCCAAAGTGGTGTTGGGCTGAAGAGGAGGGAGGGGCCCTGGGTGGGGCGGGTGGGGCCTCAAGCTCGGTCAGTGGTTGGAGGGGGACCGCAGGGGTCAGCGGTCTTAACCTGGAAATTAGCTGGCTGGAGTCCAAGTGTCTGGGGCAAGTCCAGGAGGCGGTGGGGATGTCCTTTACTGGGGGGATGCCCTTTACTGAGGAGCCAGAGGGCCTGTTTTTGCCAACTTTCCTACAGCCCGGTAGGGGCCTCCCCAGGAGCTTAGCCTGTCTCTCCCTCAAGTCTATGTCATATGAAGAGGCCGCCAAAGATGCAGCCCCTTGCGGAGGGCAGAGCAGCTTCAGGTGCTCTGGAGCAGGACCTTCAAGCCCAGTGCTCTAATGGGGTCCTTGTCCAACCAGCCCCACGTCAAGTCCCCTTGCCACAGGGGTTTCCAGTCAGCTCTGGAGAGAGCGAGAATGGCTCACAGCTGCCTGCCTGGCTTGTTCCTCGCTCCTCACTCCTGATGGCCTGCCTCCTCTCACTGGGAGCAGCCCTCAGGGAGGTGCTGTTCTTGTATCCACTTTATAAGGAAGGAAGCAGAAAAGCTGCCCTCCTCCCTCCTGGGGGTGGTGTTGGGTCAGGGCTCCCCTGTCTGGGGGGCACTTCTAGGCCCCAGTGGCGCCTGGTCCTGCATGCAGCTCCCTGAGGGACCCTAGTCCCAACCCTTGAATTCCCATGGTCCCAGGCCTTTGCATACACCCCCCTCATCCTGGCCCTTGGCCCCATTCTCTTCCTCACAGCCCAGCTCTTTTGGGAACAACCAGACGCCCTCCCCCTCCAGGGCTGTGTGCCTGGCAGCAATGCCTCCCCCACGGCCACCAGCCTTAGTCCAGGGGTGGTCCCCAGCAGTGGGGAGTGCACAGAAGCTGGGGTTGATTGGGTTAAGGTGCAGGGTATCCCGGACCCCCCAAACCCTCACCTGAGGCTTCATTGTGCTGGAGGCTAGAGTGGCAGGGCCCTTTGGAAAGGGGTGGCTTGAGGTTTTAATCACTTTATCAATGTTTGTTTGTGTAATTCAGCCCAGAGATGCTTCTCCCTCCATCTGTCTCCACCATCTGCTCCCATCAGGATTTTCCGAACCATTTGGGACCAGAAAGGAGAGTGTGGGGGCTGGGCTCTGGGGGGTGCCTGGAAGGGGCTACCTCCACCTATGTCACTAAGAGGCCTCCAGGGCGGACCCGGGCTCCCGAGGCACAGAGAACCAGGCTCAGATGCTGACACTGTCTCGTTCTGACTGTATTACCTGGGGCGGGTGACCTCTCTTCTCAAAGCCTCAGTCTCCCCATCTGTAAAATGGCAGTAACAATAGTCACTCCCTAGGATTCCTGAGGCTCAACAAGGTGATGCAGGTGAAGCCCTTTAAACACAGTAGGTGTTTAAGAAATGAGACTCCATTCACTCCCACTTGCCTCAGTCTCTGGCCTGCCGGATGCTAGGTGCATGGCCTAACCAGGACCCTTCTTTCTCTGCTCTCCATGGACCCTGCCCACTGCTGGGCTCACTCAGTAACCTGCTGGACATCTACACTAAGCCCTGCCTCTTCCCTCCTTAGTGTGCAGTGTGGGGAACCACAAAGTTGGGGGGTCGGGGGCTCCCAGTGTTGCTGAGGCCTAGGACATGAAAGGTGGCTGATTGGAAGTAACCAGCAGGGCCCAGGGGCCCTCCCCACCCAGTCTGCTTCCAGATTCACCCCACTCACTCAAGGTGTAGGAAAGGGAGGTGGGGTATCCCAGAAGACATGGTCCGATCTTCAGAAGCCCATCTATTAGAGAGACAGTTTGCAGACTGGGGGTCCTGAGACCAGGGCACCCCAATTATGGTCACAGTGGGGTGGGAAGAAGTGAGCTTCTGAGGGACCGAACCAAGGAGTCAGCCTGGAGGAGGTGAAGCCAGGGCAGGCAAAGTGGGAGGAAGCAGAGGAATGACTGAGCAGCAGCAGGGTGGGGGTAAACTGAGACCCCGCAAAGATGAAGTGGAAGCTCCAGACAAGGCTGGGAAGATGCCAGCTTCAGGCAGGCACAGGAGGAAGGGGGAGCTGGGTAGGGGACTGACTACAGAGCAGACCCATTTCCCTGCCCTCAGTAGTATAGGGTCCCCTGGCCTGGCCCAGTGGGGAAGGGGGGTGGCTTGTCCTTTGGGGGCCTGGGGTGGGGGCTGAGCTCAGCAGCAAGGCTCTCCCTGCCCCCAGGTCCTCTCGCAGGAGGCAGCTGGGAACCACCCACACATGTCTGGCGTCTGTCACCAGACAGGGGGTCCCAACACTAGAGCCAAGGCACACAGAGGAACTGGTGTTCTGGGGGGCCCAGCTGCCCCCCTCCCCTGCAGCCTGGCTTCTCCAGTTGAGGCCTCCCTGGTGGTTCTCAAGCAGGAGGGAGACTAAGGCTGGACTTTGATCACCTCAGAGCTTTGGTCTGAAAACTCAGAGGGAAGCCAGGAAGGCTGAGGGGTCCTGGCTCCTGGGCACTGTACTGGGAGCAGCTGTCCAGGGAGCAGCTGTCCAGGGAGCAGGCATTGCGTGGACTTACCTTCAAGGATGGCCCAGAGACCATCCCGGCCATCTTTCACCCTGCACTGGTCCCCTGCTTCCACCCCGGCACCCTTGTCTCAAAGTCCGCTTTTGACAGAATGGCCTGGAAGTCAGTCACTTTCTGCTCAGGACCCCAAGGGCTCCCCAACCTCACTGGAACACACCAGAAGTCCTTGGCATGGTCCCAGGCACTGCCACCCTCCAACCTCACACACTGGTGCCAAATTTCCCCAAACACTTATCCAATACACTACAGAACAGACTTCCGTTATGTCCATTTTCACTGTCCACGTCTGGAGCCCCACTGCCCAGATGAAGGCCGACCACAGAAGTAGCACACTGATGGATGAAGGCACAAGGTCCAAGCCTGGCGGGGATCCCCTGGAAAAGTCGCGAAATCGCGTTGAACCTCAGTTTCCTCATCCTCAAGTGAGTAAGGGCCACCTGCCGGAGAGACAGGACAAATCTGAGCCGAGGGTGGGCGCTGCAGCCAGGACTGGGACTGGAGGACGCTGCCCCCATGAGGAACTGGGATAGGGGCCGGTGACTCTGGAGAGAGGCTGTCCCGTTTTCAGGAAGGGGCCTGAGCCCCTCAGACACTGCCTTCGCCCCCAGTCCTCACCATCCCAATCCAGCCTTGGCAGAGGCTGGGAGGAAGGAAGGGGGTTCCCTAGATTGAGGGGGAGTGAGAGGAGCAGTTCAGATCAGTGTCGGGGAATGGGGGGGTGGGATTCATTCTGGGGGGTCCTGCGCCGGAGATCTGGGGAGCTGAGGCTGGCAGGAATTGGGGGCGGGGCTCTCTAAACTGGAGGTGGGTAGGGGGCGTGTCTGCCTCCCCAAGCCTAGCCCTCGCGGACTGGAGGAGTGGGCGCTACCCCCTCTCTGAAGAGCCCCCAGCTCAGTTTGTTCCGGAGTTGAGGCGCGGGGGCAGGCAGGGTGCCATCGAGCCGCCCAGGACCCGGATTCCGCCCTCGGAGCGACGTGCGACTCCGCACCCAGGTAGGGATGGGGGAGGAAGGCGGGCGGCGTGGAGGCTGCTGGGGGTCCCCGGCTTGGGAAACTGACCTCCCCCCAATTCGGGCTACCCGAGGAGAGGTGCTGAAGACGGGGACTTGGGCCCTCCCCTCCTGGCGGGGTGCTCCGTAGTGAGGGGTCTAGGGAAGTGGGGCGTCCCCTTCCCTCTTCGGGGCAGGGGCGGGGGCGGAGCCTGGCGCATCTCCCCCCCGCCCCCAGGGCTGGAGGGGAAAAGGAGGGACGGAGACCCCCCCAGGGGAGGTGCTCCAGGCGAATGCTGCGGGGCGTCTCCCTCGCAGTCCCTCCGCCCGCCCCCCGCCCGCCCCTCCGGCCGCCTCTGCCGCCGCGCGCCGCAGCAGCGCCGCCTTCCCTGCGCAGTCGGTGTCTCCGCGTTGCTGGGTGAGTCGGGGCCGCTCCAGCCGGGGCTGAGGGACGTGGGGAGGGGGCGCCCCGGAGGGAGGGGGCAACGTCCGGGGTTTCCCATCCTCACTGCTCCCGCGCCTCGCAGGGAGTGCTCCCTCCCTGGGCACAGGAAGTGGGGTCTCCCCAGGGGAAACGCGTGGCGCTCTCCAGGGTACTGACCGCCGAGTGGCCAGCGGCGAGGAGTTGGTTTTGGCCACCTCGGAGCGCCCCCTTTAGGAGGGGCCCCGCGCCCGGCGCTCTCCGAGTACTGAAAGGGTTGAGGCGGGGGGGCTCAGGGCCAGAGCTGGGAAGAGGTTTGGAGAGGCCCCCCCCCCCGGGGCCGGTTTCTCTGGTCGAGCTGGGGGTTCTTGCTTTTAGGGGAATGGGTTTTTTTTTTTTCTTTTTTTGGAGACAACAGAATCTTCTGCCACCCTCATTTCCAAGCCTTCCAACTGGGAGGGGCAACTGACAGTGGCAGAGAAGAGGGGGCACTGGGTGATCTGACCCAGTTCCTTGGACCTTGAGGAAGGGTTTAAGGGACACAGTCCGCTGCCCCAGCCCCATGCATTTCCTCAGTCCCCTCCCACACACTTGTTCAGGGTGTCCTTAGCCTGGGGCAGAAGGGGCTGGTTTAGAAAGGAGGGATCATGAACTTACAGAAACCTGCAGGTGACACTCTGCTGAGGATACACATGGGTCCCCAAAATGGTCACACTCCCCTTCACACTGCATACCCACTCACATGCACAGCTATGCACATACACTGACATGGATTGACACACATGGGAGAAAAAGGCAAAGCTAAGCCCAGGGACACACATGCAGCACAAGCACACGCATGAGCACACACGCTCACCCACATGTGCACAGAGCTGCATGCACATGTACACGTAGGGGGCCCCCTCACCCTGTCTCACTCATAGCCCCAAGCTGTGGGGGTTCACCTGCACACACCCCTGCATCCCTGTTCAGAACTGCCTGGCTGCCTTCTCTCCATCATCTTCTCCTCAATCCGCCACACTCTGGCCTTTGGTATTGAGGGGACCTTTCTGGACTGGTGGAAAGGTAAGTTGAAAGGTAAGGGTGGGGGAGGTGGCTGCTTAGGGAATTCCTTGGGAGAGAAGCCCTTAGTGGGCCTGGGAAGGATTGCAGCTCCCTCTCCTGGGACCTAGCAGTACCCCTGGGAATAGAAAGAAAAACAGCAAAGGTGCTTGAGGGCCCCAGTGCAGCTGGCCATGTGAGGTGCTGGCACAGGAGTCGGTTTGTGCTGGCATGAGTAGGGCCTGGGGGTCGTGGGCTGGAGTGCCTTGAAGTGCAGGTATGGGAGTTGCATGTGCATGGAACTGTCAGCGTGTGTGGACGGTGGTGCAGAGTGAGTGCTGTCACATGTGGGGACATGGTGACCCATGGGTGGGTGGCTGGTGAGTGGCATGGGACCTGGTGTGTGGATCTGGTGCTCCGTGTAGCCTAATATGTGCCAGCCTGTATCTGTTTGTGTGTCATGAATCTCGTCAGCTAGGTACATGGAAATTATTTTTATTCACTTACCTTATTTAGCACTTATATGTTCAGGTATCATTCTAAGTGCTTCCCATGTACTCACTAACTTAACCTCCCCAACAATAAGGAGGCAGGTAGTATCACCCCCACCTTACAGATGTGGCAGAGAGCTTAAGGAACTTGCCCAGTGTCACGCTGGTAAGAGGCAGGGCTGGAGGTCAAACCCAGGTGGTCTGGCTCTGGCGCCCAGGCCCATACTGCACTAGACCTTGCCGGACACACCTGCGTGGGGAAGAGAACAGACCAGTGTCTGGCCTGAGGGTGTATTTTGTGGTGGGCAGGCATATGGGAGACGAGAGGCAGGGACAGGGGGGAGGACAAAGGCCTTGCTCTGGGAGTCGGCTCCATCTCTCTGTGGCTGACTTGAAGCAGGCCACCTCGTTTCCCTGAGCTTGCCTTCTCATCTGCAAAATGGGGTTCACGTCCTGCTGCACTTCATGAGGGCAACATGACGTACACCCGTGAAGCTTGAGCCTGGCTCTGAGGACGTCAGTAAATGTGAGCCCCCTGTCCTCCCTCTCTCCAGCTGGTCCCTGGGGAAGGGTGAGGTTTGGGGAGACCTGTGGAGTATGCCACAGAGGCAGGGGCCAGGTGCAGACCGGGCGGCCTCAAGTCAGCCCCTCTCCCTGGGTCCAAAGAGAAAGGCTATCGTGGCCGGCGTCTTGGGCCCTCTTGGAGTGGTGTCAAGGGGCCAGGCGGACTTGACCACTCCTCTCTGTCCCTTGACCCCCTCGGGACCCAGGTGGGCCTTGGCTGAGCCGCCATGGGCAAGCAGAACAGCAAGCTGCGGCCGGAGATGCTGCAGGACCTGCGGGAGAACACGGAGTTCTCAGAGTTGGAGCTGCAGGAGTGGTACAAGGGCTTCCTCAAGGACTGCCCCACGGGCATCCTGAACGTGGACGAGTTCAAGAAGATCTACGCCAACTTCTTCCCCTACGGCGACGCCTCCAAGTTCGCCGAGCACGTCTTCCGCACCTTCGACACCAACAGCGACGGCACCATCGACTTCCGGGAGTTCATCATCGCGCTGAGCGTGACCTCGCGGGGCCGCCTGGAGCAGAAGCTCATGTGGGCCTTCAGCATGTACGACCTGGACGGCAACGGCTACATCAGCCGCGAGGAGATGCTCGAGATTGTGCAGGTGCGCCCCCGGCCGCAGGGTGCCAGGCGCCAGGCACAGCGGCTGGCACCCTGCCTCCCTTTCACCCTCTCCACAGCCCCTGTGGGTAGGTAGTGCCAGATACTCTTCTTACGACCCCGTTTAAAAAACACTTTACTGGGAGATGATTTCCAAGAGAAGTGAGAAAACGCCCATGTACCCCTCACTCGGACTCACCAATGAATATTTAGCTGCGATCTGTTGCTGTGTATGTGCATGTGTGTCCTGTTTTGTTGTTTTGAACATGACCTTCTACCCTGAATACATCAGGCTTTATTTCCTAAGAACAGGGACATTCTCTTACATAACTCATAACATGATTATCAAAGTCAGGGCATTTAAGATAGAAACGATGCTATTATCTAACTTACAGACCATCTTCCAGTTTTGCCAACTGTCAGTAATGTTCTTGATAGCATTTTTTTGCCCTGGTCTCGAGTCACACATTGCATCTGGTTCCTCAGTCTTTGCCTTTCACGACTTAATATGTCTGCAGGGTGCCACCTGCAGTTCTAGTTGACTGATCTTCATTTACTCGGGGACACATGGATGCTCCGAGAGACAGACATTTGCCCACGGCCCCTGGGTCCACTGTCTGCTTTCCATCTGGATACCCAGTCGCCTTCCAATGAGTTGCTTGAGGGCCACTAAGAGTCCAGTACTGAGCCCATGAGCTCAGTATCTCCTTATAATAAACCCCAGGAGGCTCAGAGAGGTGAAGTGACTTGCTCAAGGTCACACAGCACCTAATGGAGTCTGGCTCAGGCTAGTCACCACTGCAAGCTGACTCTTGATCGGGGTCTGTCTTCTAGTTCTAGAGCTGGTCTCATCTCTTACATCACTCATCTGTGACATGGCAGGGAGACTTAAGCACCTAATATGAATGCCCATTCCTTTTTTTTTTTTATTTATTTATTTATTTATTTATTTATTTATTTATTTTTTTTTTTTTTAAAGATTTATTTATTTATTCATACAGAACTGGGGTACAGGCCAGAGGCTCAGGGGCGGTGAGAGGCTTCACCAGAGACAGAGTGGGGAGCAGAACAGGCAGATCGACGAAGTACACTGCTGAGGGGAGCAGCGGGCGGGTCAGGAGAGGTCTGGCTCGCCATGTGGTCTCCTCCGGGGCAGGCGGCAGGCGGGAATCGAACTCATGCGGAAGTGGCCTCAGATTCTCAGTGCTGTGCTTTAACCCGCTGCGCCACCAGGGAGGGCCGCATTCCTTTTTTTTTAAGATTTATTTATTTATGCATATAAGAACTGGGGTACAGGACAGTGGTGCAGGAGGTGAGAGGATTCACCAGAGACAGAGTGGGGAGCAGAACAGGCCGACTGACTGAAATACACTGCTGAGGGGAGCAGCAGGGGAGACAGAAGCAGCCTGCTGAGCCATGTGGGTCACTCCCTGGCCAGGGATTGAACTCGTGCTACACTGGCTGCGGAGAGCTTCAGTGGTGAGAGTTAACCCCTACACCCCCACTCTTAGTACCCCATTCCCCTTTAATATGGCATCCACTAGCTTTATTTCAAAAACCTTCCCAAGTCTAGCCCTCAGCCAGCCCTGAAGGCCCACAGGACTCTGCTTTGTTCGAACTATCCAACTGCCTTGTTTATTTTCCCCAGTCTCTGTTTCTTCACTTGTAAAGGAGGGTGTTGACCCTCCACTTCAGAAAGCTATGTGGGTATGAAGAGGGGCAGGGATGTTAGCAGAGGACTTGGCATGAGATGGGCACTTGTTAGTTCTTTTCTCAGTTCTTTTCTCTGTGCACAGTCTGTGCTAACCAGAGGGGCTTTTCAGGCCCTTCGGAGTATGTCCAGAGCAACCCTGCCACAGCTGTGCGCAGTCCTTCTCCCCTCGGCCTCTGAGCCCTTTCCCTTCTGGGTCTTCAGCTCTGCTGACTGTTCTCCAGGCCTCAGCCTCCCCCTGACCCCCTCAGCTTCCAACTCATCCAGCCCCTACTGGAGTCTTGACTTTGGCCTCTCCTCTTGCTAAACATCTGGCTCTGCTCTCTCAGCTGAATAGGCAGCCTGGGCTGGGGCACCATCCTTATGCCTATCACGGGGGGAATCCTAATGTTTGTCCATGACTCCTGTGACCAGGTATTAGCTCTAGTTGATGGATAGAAGGGCATTCTGGGGGAGCAGGGTTGTGAGGGGCAGCAGCTGGATACCAGCCAACTCTGAGGGATGTTCGTGTTTCACCACTTATGTAGCTGCACTGGTAACTCCCAGTCTACCTGGGCTGGCAGGTCCAGAACAGAAGCCAAGCCAGTCCTTGGGCATCTTTGGAACTCCTTCCTGGCTGGCCTTTGCTATCTAGGCCTGTAGGCCCGCGGCCCCAGACAGCCAGCGCAGACAGAGCTCTACAAACCCCAGAACTGATTAATTACAAGTTGGCTCCAGTAAAATAGTGAGTGAGCTACAGCTCCAGACAATAATTAGAAGGCCCAGGAGAAGGGTTGTCACAGGGGAGCGGTCACTTTCTAAGTCATTCGCTCGGTCCTGAGGACCCAGCCTGTGCGGTGGCCATACCAGAAGAGACATCTTGGCCATTTGGGGCTCCCACTCTGGTGGGCAAGACAAGGGTGCAGGACACACTGACCAGCTCAGTGACAGGGGTGTAACATGGGATGTCTACAATCCAAGGGACGGAGGGCAGGGAGACCCGAGGGTGTGGGGAGTGAGCCACAATGGTGAGTTTACTGACCATGTACTCTAGCTAGTCCCTGTTCCACACACACTAACTTAATCCTAGGCAATCCTAGCGAGGGAGATGACTGCCCCCATTTTACAGACAAGGAAACTGAGGTTCATTAAATACTTGCTCAAGACCAGAGCAAGTGACTAGCAGAATGAGGATGTCGCTGCAGGTCCAGCTTACCGCAGAGTTCCTACTGGTGGTCACCACCCACACTGCCCAAAGCAGCTAAAAGGAACTGGGCTCAGATCCAGTCTCTGCCAACAATTCCCTTGCTGAACCTTGGCCTCTTTATTCCTTTTTCTTGCACACTTCCCTCACCCATGAGCATTGATTTCTTATCCGGAAAATAGGGATCATGATACCTGCTTTCCAGGGCTGTCGGGAGGTTTGGAATCAATGTAGGTAATGAACTTGACACATAGTAGGTGCCTCACGCATGGTAGTATGACTGTTCTAGACAGAGGCTGCAAATGCTGGAAAACCCGAAGAGTCCAGTGGTGTTTAGGGTGGCACAGTCACCTGCCAGGAGAGGCCTGCCTGATGGTGGAGAGATTAGCAGGAACCAGAGGATGAGGTGTTGTCAGTGCCAAGGGGCAGGTGTGTTGTACTCGGTACAGAGGGCAATGGGAGGTGCCAGTGACTTCTGAAGATGGGCATTCCTACCAGGTGCCAGGCACGGTGCGGAATTCTGCAGTGGGTACTGGCTGGACGTCTGTGGCTCTTATTTGTGTGGTGGGGACTAGGAAGAGGCCCACAAAGGCAAAAACATCTGGAGAGGTGTCCCCAAAGGATAAGCCTCCCTGGCCAGCATATAGGGGCTGACCCAGCCGGAGCAGAGCAGGACTCCCTAAGAAAGCGCCTGCTCGCGGGAGCCCAAAGGAGGAGTGGGAGGCAGCAGAAGGAGCGTGGGGCAGCATCCAGAAGGAGCTGGGTGCATGGTGGGCCTGGAGGGATCCTGTGTGTGACTGGAAGAAGGGGGCGGCAGGCTGGGCTGAGGACGTGGTGATGGCGCCTGCTTGGAAAGCGCTTCAGAGCAGTGCAGGGAGGCCCAAGAGGCTGAAGCCCTTTCTCAGGCCAGGATAGGGGAGGCTTCTTGGAGGTGGTGTAGTAGTAGCACGAAGCTGGGAGATCGGAGACGACCACCTTGCCGCCCTTCACCTGCGACGCCCCGGGACCCAGTCTACCCCACCGCCCGTGCTGCGTACTTTGTGTATATTTAGTACCGAGTCCTCCTTCGCATTGCCTCTGGAGCGCCCGCACTCGGTGGCGGCGGTCCCGGGCCCAGCAGTCCAGGTTGTCCCCGCCCCCCGGCAGATGCTCGTTTGCATAAGTTCCCCCGCCCACTCAGGGGCCAGCTGCCAGGGGCTCTCCAGTCCCCGGCGGCCCGCGGCCCCTGCGGGTCACGGCGGCAGGCTCCGCAGCCCGGCGCCCCCTGTCGGCCACTGAGAGCCCCGCGCTTCGGAGAAGCTGAGCCAAACCCCTAGTTACCCCGGAACCGCGGTACCCGGATTCTCAGCCCTTTGTCATCTGGGCTCCGATGTCCCCCAACATCCCTTCTCATTCACTCCCAGTTTCTCAACGCCCACGCGGAGCTTTTGGACTCCGGGGGTCACTGCTCGTGTAGACCCCTCTGTGAGCAATTCTCCCACCCAGCGCCCCAAGGACCCTGGGTCAGAGCCGCCCCAACGGGCTCCTCTTCTGGGAAGTCTTCCTAGACACTCCTTCCAGGATCCCCCAGGACCCCACGCCTCCGAGGCCCTCTCTCCACCTCACCCTGGCGGGAAAAGCTACCACCGTGTCTCTGGTGGCGTCCTCTAGGGGCTGGCTCTGGGGGCTCAGGTAAGCCCCTCACTCCCTCTTTTCCCCTCCCGTCCCCCAGGCCATTTACAAGATGGTTTCGTCCGTGATGAAGATGCCAGAGGACGAGTCGACCCCGGAAAAGAGGACTGAGAAAATCTTCCGCCAAATGGACACAAACAACGACGGTGAGGGGGCAGGGGTGCGGGAGGCCGGTGGGCGCGCGCGGGCGGCGGGCGCCACTCCCCCTCCCCGCCCCTGCTCCGCTCGGCCTCTCCGGCTTCTCTCTCGCCGGCTCCCCCTTCACGGCTTTCCTCGCCCCGCAGGTAAGCTGTCCCTGGAGGAGTTCATCCGCGGAGCCAAAAGCGATCCGTCCATCGTGCGTCTGCTGCAGTGCGACCCCAGCAGCGCCTCCCAGTTCTGATGAGAGGAGCCAGGTCCCCCCCACCCCTGCCTTCTCTGGCCCTCTCCCGGCTCTCAGCTTCCCCTCCCTTGTGTGTGTCCAGGCTAGGGGTCAGACTGGGCCCCCGCCTCCCGTCGGCACTGTTGGGGGCCAGTGGAGGAGGAAACCCTGCAGTGCCCCCAGAGCCCAAGCAAGCAAGCGGTTAGCACCCCCGATTCCAGAGGCAATACTCCCTTATCCGTGGTAGAGACACAGGTTCTGAGCCCCCAGTCAGGGATCTGTCAGAATTCCAACCTCCCTTCTTCCCCCTCCTGCTGCAAGCCCCTCCTCCTCCCCCAGCCGCCGGCTGACTTCCCTTCCCCAACCACAGGGCAAGCTCCCACCCCCTCCCAGATCTCAGCCTGTCTTTATTTGGAGGGGATAAGGATTCCAGAAGTGTGAGGGTTTGAGGAAAAAGCTTCCTCGAGCCATCCTTCCCTGCAGGAAGGTCCTAGCTCTTCCTGCCCCAGCTCTTGTGGGCCTGGAGGCCACAACGCCTAAGGAAAACCCCCACTCCAGCCCCCCAAGCTGTGGGCTCCATGCACCCCGCCTGCCGTTCCGCACGGATGAACACACAGACCCACGGACCCCTCTGTATATTTTGCCTTTCTCAGACACACTCACAGGCAGATGGGCAGACAAACCCAGAGCCCCACCCACGGCGTCCTGTGTGGGAAAGCACAGCCCCCTGGCCAACCCCCACCTCCCCCCTCCACCCCTGCATGCACCCACGTGGAGCATCTCTGTTCTTTTTAATAACTTCAGAATAAAGTCTTGTTTCAGTGCAGTGGGCTGGGTGGCCAGGGATTGAAAGCCCAGTGGGGCCCCTTGTGGCCACTGAGCCTTCTTGGCCACTCCAGGAACCCTTGACCTGGTCACAGTGCAGACTTCATTGCAGGGCCCCCATGGCCTCGGGGCCCGGCGAGGCTTCAGCTATCAGAGGGTCAGCGGCTCGGAGCTGGTGCAGCTCAGCAGGTCATGGCCCTCCACTGGCTCAGGGCTCTCTTGCATCTGCAGAGACACAGGAGGCTGCAGGGTGGGGCTCCCCCTCCAGGCCCCAGGGAGTGAGGGCAGGGGGGGCCTGGGAGGCCACTGGGGCAGGGAGTAGCACTGTCCTTCTACCCATGCAAAAGCCAGGCCATGGACGAGGAGTGTCCTGATTGGAGCAGACAAGCCCGCCCCCTCCCCTGGCCTTGGGAGAACCAGCTGTCAGCTGGGAAATCTGACTTCTCCAGGCCTCCCCTCTGGTCCTGGGGTGAAAATGATTGCCTGGTTCTCAAGGTGGGGGTCCCCTGGGGAGGGGATGGGGTTGGGGCAGGAAACACAGGCCCAGGAAACACAGGAGGCAGGGCCGAGGCAGAGGGGTGGCATGCCTTACCGAGCGGTGGTGGCTCTTCCCCCACCAGGGCCTCAGTTCCAGCAGCCCGTGGGCGAACTGCGCGCAGCGCACCGCGAACGCACTCTCCACCACGCAGAACACTAGTGAGATGCCCCAGAGGCACAGGCTGGAGCTCTGGGGACACAGGGCACAGAAACAGCTGTCTGGGGCCGGGGGTGGAGGGCCAGACTCCAAGCACATTCTTCCCCGGGTGAGCGCCGTGGGTGTCCCCCCCACCCCGCCTGAGTTCTAAGCACTCACATAAATGCGTGTGGGGTCAAAGGGACAGTCGGGAGCCACTGCGAGGAGTCCGGGGCCCCCAAAAGTGCAGGCGGCCAGTAGTGCCCGGCCCTGGGTGGCAAAGGTCACAGCGATGGAGGCCAAGAGGCCAAGAGCGCAGGTCAGAGAGAGAAGGGCGCAGGCCACACTGGAGCTAAACACTGTCCAGCGCTGCATGGGGGAGGCCAGTGGTCAGCAGAGGTCAGGCACAGCTCCAGCTCTCCAAGGGGGCCCGGCCCTGGGCATGACCGCTGACCTCCCCTGCCCCTGCAGGGGTGCGACATACCAGGGGGATGCTGGGGAGATAGCGGGACAGCACGATGGCGGCGATGCCCGAGGTGATGACCTGTGGGAGAGCTCAGATCAGGGCTGACCCCTCCTGGACGAGCGTGGGCAGGGCTCAGGGCCATTCTTGGATAAAGGTGCCACCAGTGCCAACCCCCGCCCCCCCCTTTGGCTTCGCCATATTGCCGCCGTCTGCGCAGAGGCAGTGACTCGTGGTCAGCTCTGAGGTGATGCTTCTAGAACAACCACTCTGCCTACAGCCTCCTCTGACTCCCCACTGCTTCTAGCTGTGCGTCTCGCCAGGAACCTGTGTACCCAGCGTCACAGGGCAATGCTGAGCCACCAAGCACATGTGACATGTCTACCTGGAATGGGAAGATTTGGGAAGAACTAAGTGACACAACTGGCAAGGAACTGGAGTAGTTCAAACCCCCAAGGGGTATTGTCAAGTTGCCCCAGGCTCGCAGTGAGCTGCCCGTTCCATCAGCTCCTCGACCCCATGGGCCGCTCTCCTCCTCCACTGCTCTGGACAGGGCACCTGCAGAGACCGCTGCCATTCACCGCAGTGTGCCTTCTTGGGAATACCCCCTGCTCCTCTTTACCGGCCCGGCTCTCCCCCCAGAAGCCCCCCGCCACCTGCAGTGGGCCCAACCCAAGCTGTAGTTTAGCCGGCTGGATCTTTCGGGTTTTACTCAGCCAAGCTTCCTTCTCGAGTGCCCTCTCTGTATCAGGTGTGGCCTGGACCCATGGGAGGGAGGGGGTATGTTGGCGGGCCTGGGCTCTGAGCCCAGCAATGTTTTCAATTCACTGTGCCACCACAAGTAAACGTCCCAACCCCTCAGGGCTAAGTCCCACTCTGCAGAGCTCACGGAAGGACAGGCCCTAGTGTCAGACACCAATTCCAAATCCAGCTTGACTGCTTCCTATCAGCAGCCCGTTGGGTGACTCCTAAGTCCCAGCTCCCGCTTCTGAATGATGGGAGTGGAATTCCCTGTTGCTGGAAGCAGTAAGGATTAACCCAGGAAAAGAGGGCAAAGCTGAAGGGGTTTGGTCCAGAGCCTATCCTAGGTGAACCTCCTAAGTGAGCTCACTGACGTCCTCACAAGGCTGGTGAGAAACTAACTGGTGGCTCCAAGAGACAGGGCACATGCCCACCAGCGGGCTCTGCCCTGGGCCTGGCTGGGCCCACCCTGTTCTCACCAGCTTGGAGGCCAGCAACTGCCTGCACCCCTCCTGCAGGGATGGGAGGAGGCAGGGAGCGGACTCAGACACTTGTGTTCAGATGCTTCCCAAACCTCTGCTGACAGCTGGGAAAGGGCTTTTGAACTTGCCCTTCATAGACTCACCCGGTGGGTACTGACTTTGGCCATAACCATGGCGCTGCCTGTTCGTAGTCCTCCCTAAGGCTGAGCGCCTAGGTGGATTTTCTCAGAGTTTCTAGGACAGGTCTGAGCCACTCCCACGGCCTCATCTTTGCCCCTCCCACCCTCTGCGCGCGGGAAGCCTACCATCCCGGCGCCCTCTCTACCTGCTGGTGCCAGCATGTCCCATACCTGGGCTATGGTAATTGCAGCTCATCTGTGAACTCCTACTCATCCTTCAGTACCCCGCTCAGAAGCCTCCACCTCGGACACCCTTCTGTAGCTTCCTGTGCGCCTTCCTTCTGTCTGAAGGTGCCTTGGCTACTTCACTGTTGTAATAATCCTGGCTCGCTGGAATGTGCAGTAACCATGTACCTGGCCCTGTGCTGAGCCCCGGGGGTGGATACTTACCATCCCCATTTTATAGATGTGGAAACTGAGGCAAAGAGAGGCTGAGGACTTGGGTGGTTGGCGGGAAGCAGAGCAGGGGTTAGTGCTCAGGCTCTTTGCTCTCCACCTCCGGCTCCAACTAAAGGCCTTTCAGTACCCTCCAGCCCCCTCCCGCCAGACCTCTCCCGGCCTGGCCGTACCACGATGGCAGAAGTGACAGAGAGAATGTTGACCACGCAGTATTGCACAGCCACGGCGTCGTGGGGGGCGGCCACATAGCGCAGCACGGTGCCGTGGAGCAGAGCGGCTGCGATGAAGCTCATGTGCCCCAGCACCACCTGCACCAGCCCCGTCTTCATCAGCATCCTCCGGAAGTCGCCCACACTCCGGCCACCTGTGGGGGCAGCGTGGTCAGGGCCCTGGTGGGGCTCCTCCATCTGGACAGAGAAAACTGAAGCTCTGAGCGGAGCGATGGACCTTGGGTCCTAAACCTGTTTCTGAGTGACCTGGGGTGAGTGAACTTGTCTCCTCTGAGTCTGCTTCCTCATCTGGAAAAGGGGTTCACCGTACTTTCATGAGCGCCCTTGGTCTGAAGGTCGGAAAAGCACACAGGTGATAATGCAAGGTGAGAGTGCTTGTTAGCGCTCAAGGTCACGAGTGGCGCGGCCAGGATGAACCCAGGTCTCCAGCTCTGGACGCTCGACCCTTCCGCTAAGCTGCGTTCACTGGTGCAGTCATCCGTGTGCTCAGCCACGCCGAGCGCCCGCTCTGTGCCAGGTCCTGAGGCCCCGGACGAGCTTGACAGTCACTGTCCAGGTCCCCAAGGAGCCCCCTTGTCCATTGGGCAGGGGTCATATCCTGCTTGGGATCCAGTGGGTGAGCAGGGCCTGGCACACAGTAGATACTCAACTTATAATTGCAGAACTGCTCGCGGCTGGGTGACTCAGGGCAAGTCTCTGAGTCTCCACTTCCCCATCCATAAAATGAGAAGAGTCACCCTTGGGTCTTGGTGCGAAAGCAGGGTGCAGGAGGAGAAGGATGGGAGCAGGGCTCACCCTGGGGAAAGCTCTGGGTACCCGGCACCGGCAGGGGCGGGGGAGTGGAGTAGGCTGGGATCAAATGAATATCAGGGAGTCCCATGCAAACCTGAGGATCAAGTGGCCGTCCAGCCCCACCTACACACCACACAAACAGGAGCCCTTTCCAGCAGCTCGGAGGATTCCTGATCTGCAACGGACCCCCAGGACTGTACCATGCTTGGTATCTTGGCCCAGTCAGCCCCTCACTCTGGCCAGCTTGGTTAGACTGGCCAGGTCCCCGGAACTAAACGGCCCCTGCTCTCCTTAGCTGCTCCAGGAGGAACCTGGCAGTGAGTCCCTTCCTATCTGTATCAGAGAGTTGAATTTTATTTCATATATGGGAACTCTGCAGCAGGGAGCAGGGAGAGCGGGGCCGCTCAGTCACTGACCCCTGTGTAAACTTTACCTCCTTTCCCCTTCCTGGGCCCTGGACTCCGAATCTGGCTGGTCTCGGAGCCCCTGGAGCCTGCAGGACCCTCTGGCACTGGACCAGGCCCGCAGAAGCAGAGGGCTGCACAGGCACTGTGGACATGGAGTGGCCTGTGGCTTAACTGCTGGCCAAACAGGTAAGGCACAGCAGCTTGTCCAGTCTCACCCTCCATCCACCCACCTGCCGGGCAGCTCAGGCACCACCCGGCTCAGGGCTGGGCTCGTGAGCAACAGCAGCATCCCAGGACGGAGTTTGGTTAAACTGGAGCACAGTGCCAACCTGGGCGGGTGCCTAGAGCACGGCACTGAGAGCTGAGGTAGCCCTGGCTTCGTTGTTTCTTTACCCTTCTTGAGTCTCAGCACTGCTGTGAGCTAGGGGCAAACGCTACTCTTGGGAGTCAGCTGTTCGCCCATTTACAGGTGAGGGTAACAAGTTCTCTTAGCTGGACAGACCCGCCTCCCCAGGCCTCTCGAATGCCCAGATAGCCTCACTGCCCCAGAAGGGATGGGAGGACCCAAGCAGGATCTCTGTCCTGACCGGCAGACCATTGCGGGTGTCTCTCCCTCCCAGGCTGGCCCTGGGAGTGCAGGGTTTGGAGGTGAGCAGGCGCCTTTACCTGAGCGTGGAAGGGAGTCCTAGGCTGGCAGCCTCAGGTTCCAAAGTTCTGGATTCCTCTCCCTTCAGAGCCACCGACTGCCCTCCCCAGCATCTCTGCCCCCTCCTCCGGGTGGTGGGCTGGGGCGGGGTCTCCCCACAGGAATGGAAAGTAGCAACAGGACATGCCCCTAACTCAGGAAGATGCCCGCAGTCCTCCCTCCACCTGGCGACTAGAGAGCTGAGGCCCAGAGCTGAAAGTGGCCTTCAGCCAAAGCACCCGCCCCAGGGTTCCGGGCTCCCACTCCAGTGCCGGGTGCCCAGCTCCGGATCTGGGCGCGTTGGGGCCTCCCGGACCGCCCCTCACCCCGCGGCTCACCAAGGCGCAGACACATCTCGGCTCCCGCGTGGGGTCTCCGCGGCTGGCGGGGCTCCACAGGCTGCGGGCGGCCGGGGAGCCGAGCGC